CCAAAGTAAGAAGTTGGGCAGAGTGGAAGCAATAGTACAGAAAAGGGGCAAGAAGAGTTACCTGACCCTCTTGAGGAAGAGGGTATTTATAGAGAGACCCCAGCGCTGGGCCAACGGTCATTAGGGCTGAACTGGACGACCAGGCCCATCCCTAATGACTGCTAGGGCTTACGTGGCGTAGTGAAGACCAGGACGTGGTCTTCGCCCTAGTTCAACCGCTCCTAGATCTCCAGAAAGTGGGTTTGACCTGCTCTTTCGGAGGTGGGCAGTTGGCTGGTGACGTGTCCCCACGGAGGGGAGCACGTGGAGAACGTGCGCCGGGCACGTTGTTCTCCCCGCGGAGGGGAGCTTCGCGAGATACTCCGGAGCGCGTTGTTCTCCCCGCGGAGGGGAGGGACCATGGCCGCGCTATGGTGAGCCGGGGACGGTTTTGCTCGTTTGGTGTGGTGGATGATGAAAGGTTGTTGGGACGTTGCTTGTGTTCGGCGGCCTGCCCTGCTCGTCTTGAGGGATGCACGTATCCGGCGTGCCCGATTCGCCTGTTGGGCCGTACGCGGTATTGGGCCTGCCGAGGTTGGGCCCATACCGGAACAATTATATTTTAAATATTTAAATAAAATTTATCTCAGAATTTTAAGTTAAAAATATGAGAATATATTTTATAAAAAGTTATTTTTTATTTCATTTATATCTTGACTTGATCTTATAATTTTTTTACTTGACTTATTTCAATCTATTATTCTCTTGTTATCTCTTTCGTATAATTGCTTCTCATACTTTTATTTATAGAAAATGAGAGGTAAAATATATGATGAGAAAATAGTAATTCAAGTAGTCATAATTATTTACTTAGTTACTGAATGTTCAGTAAGTGATTATTACTAAGTGATTATTACTGATAGTTCAGTAAGTGATTATTGATAAATTTTATATCTCATTCATCAATGTGTTGATGTTAATAATTTTGAGAAGGTTGGTGACTGCACATCCTCATATGGAAGGGGGAAAATTCAATTTTTTTTGCATGTATTTTTTCAAAACTCACCTATATGGCAGGACGCAAAATATCTATTAATCATTCACCTTTGCCTCAGGCGAATACTAAGAGACCACAAACACCTCCGAGAAATCGTGGGAGACCTTGAAGGCAAGTGAATGCGCTGGAGTGTGGAACCAGTGGGCATTACAATCAAGCAAATCATTGAATTTCTATCTAATCGTTGCGTAATTCTATTTGATGGAATAATATTATATAATTGTTTTTTATTTTTCATTTTATTTAATATTATTTAATTGTTAAAATAATTATAAAAAAACTAAAACAACATAATAGCCACTGGCTATGACGCATGCTCCTAGAACATGTATGCATGTATCATAGGCAGTGGCATGACATGAATGCATACGACATATTCTATGGTGCTTTAGTTCAAAATAACAATGCATGTGCCCCTACTTGTGACGCCTCTTGAGGGTAGATTTTTTTTTCATTCGAAACATAATTCCTTTGATATATTTTAAAAAACAATTATTTTGAAAATAAAAAAAAATAAAAAACATGATTATTTAAAAAAAAATCGCATAAACTTCTATGACTTTTAATGAATTTTACATTCTTTTTAATAGTGTATGATTTACCATACTCAATAAAATCACCTAGTGTTGAATAGCACCATTTGGACAAGATCTTCGCAAAGTTTACGAATACTCATGAAAATAACCAGACGGTCCACACAACTAGAAAATCTCTGTTTTCCTGCGGATTATGACAAAATTTTTGCAGAAAACGTATTACCTGCGATTCTTCCTGCTATTTCTGCTCCCAGCTAAAACCTTCGTGGATAATTAATTTAGCAGGTAAAGTCGCAGGAAATAATCGCACAAAATAGTCGCAGGTAAGTGTCGCAGATAAAATATATAAATTTGCAGAAAAAGCCGCAGGTAATAGTAGTTTTCGCAGGAAAAGTCACAGCAAATTTTATATTCGCAAATAATTTCTCTCTAAGATATTTAATTTTTATTTTTAATTGTGTTTAATTCATATTTAAAATATTATAGTTATTGTTAACAAAGTAACAATAATAATAATTTTTTTAAAAAGTATTTTCTCATATTTGTTACTTAAAAATAAAAATTAAATTTACTTAAAATTTGAAATATAATCAAAATTTACAATAAAAATAACAATCAATCACTCACTGTACAACCTATTTATAGAATATTGTCATATGTATGACGATAACTACATGACATACATATCTACCCCATCATCAAACTGCATGTTGAATTAAACATTAATGGACTTCGATTACATCATGTTAATTCGACTTTGTCGAATTCTGAAGCTATACGAGTTTTAAGTACAAGTACTAACTTATGAATCTAAAGCTACATCAACTTTATGATCTTTGAATTGTGTGTCAAACACTTGGCTTTTAAGTTGAAATATCTAGAAAAACCATTTTCCTTCCACGAGTCCAAGATTTCTTGAAACGCCTTTTCTCCGGCCTTTGTAGCTTTGTAAGCTTTTAGAATAGGAAATGTGATATTCTCAATACCGAGCTCAGGAACTCCATTTTCTAATTTGTCATCCTCAATTGATAACATTGATAAGGACTTTATTAGATGATAACTTTCATTAATAAATCAATCTAACTCCTCATTTGAAGGTCGGAGATTCGATTGGTGGCTACGATTGCGAGAGTTCAGATCATTGCGAAAAAGACTGGTCATGGTGTAACGTGAGAGGCTTTGTCAACTCCAAACGTGATCGAAGCACGAGCCATTCCGCAATTTCTCTATTATGAGGGTTTTGTTTTGAGTGACTCGAAATGTTTGTTACGTTAGGGTTGAGTTTTCATTGCTACCTATTATTATTTGGAAGGTTTAAAGTTTAAGCTCAATTATATAATACTTAGTAATAGTGATTTTTATTATTTAGAGATTCAGAGTTGAATCACTACCCAATAGATTTTTTTTAAATTTTTTTATCAAAATTTTATATTTTTTTATATTTTTTAACTACACCTCCCTCAAAAAAATTATTTATTTGTTGAATTTTTTAAAATAGTATTTTTTTTTTTAATTATATAATCAAATAAGAAAAGTGAGAGAAAAAAAATCAATAAAGCAAAAAAAAATTTAAGCAAAAACTATTATTATTCAATAAAGAAAAAAAATTGTTGTGAAAATTATTTTAAAATAGGTTTATTTTTATATTATATATATAAATCTAAAAAAGTCGACATGTCAATTATATTTTACAATTTTATTTAATAATAGTAAAAATATAATTAAATAAATAAACTTATATTTTTACAATTATATCATAAACTTATATTTTTACAACTATATCATAAACTTATATTTTTTATTTTTATTTATTTTTATAATAATAAAAAATTATTAAATAAATAAAATTATATTTTACAATTATATCATAAACTTATATTTTTTAATTTTTTAATTTTTACAACAATAAAAAAATATTAAATAAATAAATTTTCTTTAAAAAATAACTAAAAAAACTAAATTAATATCATAAAATTTTCTTAAGAAAAACTAAGATTTAATATAAAATTAAGAAATGTCTCAACAACATATTTAATTTATTAAAAGTAAAAAAATATAAAAACTAAAAATAAACCAAACAATTCACAGCAAAGGTCGCAGAAAAGTTTACAGCAAATTCCGCGGCAAACGTCGCAGCAATTCCTTCGGTATTTCCATAGAATTTTGTGGTTTAAATGGATAATTAATTCCTGCGAAAACATCGCAGTTAAATCTGCAGGAAATTTATATTTTACTTTTAAATTAAAACTCGCAGCTAAAGTCTCAGGAATTCCTACGAAATTTGCTACTATGTTAGTTTTCGCAGAAAATTATGTTTCACAATATAAAGGCACAGGAGAAATCGCAGATGTGGAACTCTTTCCGCAGGAAAATCCGCAGGTAGTCTATGTATTTCTAGTAGTGCCATCACATGCACCACAACATCATCAGAAAGAGGTGAGAGAAATACTACTATCTAATGACTCCTTTACTCCACTAACCGACTATTTAATACATGATCTCAAATATTAGAAAGTTTCAAATTTTAAAATGTTCAATTTTTTCCTATAAATATTAATAAAAATAAACAAAATATTATAATAAAAATACAATAAATAAAAAATGTTATGAAAACCTAATACATACAAAAATTGAAATTAATCAAAACTCGAAATAATTATAATTAAATTTATTTTTGATTAATACATCATTATAATTCTATTTTTGATGTCTTTTTTAATTATCATAATTTCATATATTTTTTAAAATTTGAACTCATTTTTAGAATTATAATAGACCCTGATATGAGTAGACCGACCCTGACCACTATTTTACGTAAATGTTTCGGAAGCGAAACTTTCAAATGCAAGAGCCGAGTAGAAGGAGGCAATGCTCATTTATTTACTAGGCCCTTAAACTCACTATCATGCGATGTTTTAAGCCTAAACAATCATTAGTTACAATATTTGCATGACATGGACCCTTACAAGCCTAAAAAGAATCAAATCAACATGAGAGGTGCCAAGTAACCACTTTCATGTTATGGTCATGAAACAGTAAGCCACAGCCCAGAATATAGGATAGCAAGAAATTAAACTTTTTAGACAAAGTAGAAGAATGTGAATAGATAGATATCAGTGTTCAGTTGTTGCCATAACCCACAAAGAACAGAACAAATTTCAAATCTACCTCTCCACGGAACTTAATAAACATGCTAATAGTGTAAAACAAATTATAAATTTGAGAAGATATTTCACTTTTGATGATTTTTTATAGGAAACTTAATGCACATATTCTATCCGCTGATTCAAATCAGACTCCGCTTAGCAATAATGTACGAGATTTCTAAATAAACACTGTTGTGTAGCTTTGTAACTGTAAAACCATGCTCATATTTGTATTTATATTATAACAAAAAAGGAGAGATAACAATCTACAATAGTGCATACTCAGATTCTGTATTTACCCATCCGCATCCATTTGGCACATGACCACTTATCACCCTTGATTACAGGACAAGCACCTTAAAAATTATCACAGATAGGTATTTAAATTTATCTTCTTTAAATAAAAGTGCAAGCTTGTTGACACACAAAGGTCTTAATTAGAGCTATTAAAATGGTAGCAATAAAAGAGAAACTAACTAACCATGCAAACTCGATGGATCTAAAGTTGAATCAGGCTTCATGCCCCAGAAAAGTATAGCATTGCCCATCTTTGGCTTAATTGAAAGTCCTTTTTTGCCACAATCAGAAAGTTCATTCCACCAAGGAACTGAGCTAAAATCTACCTCTGCAGCTGGGAACAACGTCTCACCCCCTTCTTCAACATCTGAACTGTATCATCATCAAAATATAAAAAGAGCACACCAATATCAGCTTCATATCCGAGAAGACATTTGAAGTCAACAATGAGTGGATGACAAGTAAAGTCGCTTACAGGTACATCAGCATTGTCGCTATACGGTTACCCCCATTCCTAGTATTATACTTATCTCTGAAGTAGTCAAAATGAGGATCATACTTTTGTCCTACTTCATAATGAAGAACATTAAGGTTTTCACCATGCTCTGCAAGTAATGGTTGTTTATGTATAGGATGGAAAATAACATACTACGTCAGAATCATAGTCTAGAGGGTTCCACTTTGTTAATACATGGTTGAATAAAACACATTAGTATTATGAACAATGGAAATAACTAAAGGATGAAAGTACGCACCTACAGGTATAAAAGTAAAATCAGCTATCCTTTTCTCAATCCGCTTCACAATTTTATCATATCCTCTCGCGATAAAAGTTCCAGAGCTTGTCCGAACACTAAATGCAAAAGGAATATGTAAACAAAAGGTTGTGGCATTGTCAATCTAAACAAGGCAAATAGATTTATATTCAACACTGAACTCAACTGACACTCGATAAAGAGCTTTGGGGTCGGAAAAAGAAAAATCTAACCTGCTGTTCAATTTCTTTCCTGTTTTACTATCAGCAACAGCTGACTTATGCATATTAGGCTTGGCTATATTGATTAGATGTTCACATTCCTCTTTTGTCTGCTCAGATCAATAAGCCATGCCTTAGCATTTTTGAAATGTAAACATTGTAACATTAATAATATTTAGGGGATTAACCAACCTTGAACTATACATAAACAAAATATAAGCATGTCACATAAACAAGGCCGGCCATTGGGCCAAGCCCCTAAAAAACCTCAATCAATTTAGTAGTTTAATAAATAATTTTGCATCTCAAAAAATTCAAAAAATAAATTTTAAATAAATATTATAAGAACCGCTCCAACCGAGAAAAAACCACTCCACGCTAACCGCTGTCCCACTTGTAGCACCCGCGATTTCGATATGCACAATGAATCTTCCGCGACGGATGGCCGCTACGGCCGAAACACCCGGGATCTCGTCGATTGCGGCCGCGATTCATAACTCTCATGTATGACATGTATGAGAGTTATCATACTAGTTTATAAACAGATTGTTATCTCAAGTTGTTGAGAGAGAGGTTGATTATTATTCACTTGTAGTCTGTTAACCTTAATTGAGAAAGTGAATAAAAAAATCATTATAACCAACTCGGTTTCTTCTCTCTTATCTCTCTTCATGAATTGAATCGTTTTCTTGTTTGTTCAAGAACTCTCTCTTTCCCATTGATTTATTGCGTTTGAAATCATTTATCCCAACAATAACCATAATCACCAAGTTAGTAGTTTGACTATCCTCATATGATCTACTCTTCCTACTATCAAATTAACATGTTCAAAAATATATCTAATTTCAACCATTTTTTTCTACTATAAGTCTTTCGTCTACTCTTACTTCATATCACCCTCCCATTATAAATCAATTCCTCTCAAAATCAATTATAACCAATCCATTTGAAGTATCGTTCTTCATAAAACACAACTCATTTGTACTCCAATTATATAATTTCATATTAAGATAATTAATCCACAATCCATTTCATTCATGTAAAAAGGGAAGATTTGTTATTTTCTTATACATTGGACTTACCCTCAACATCAACAAAAAAGTATAGGGGAAAACTGACCAGGAAATGGTGATATAAAAACGCTCTAGGCTCCCACGATATGATTTCAACCCAACGCTCGCTAGCACTGTCTTCGCTTCTGCATAGAACTTATGATAATGAGACAGAGAGATATATAACAAAGAAAGGAAAATAAGTAGTAGTAGTAGTGAATTGAATAGAAACCTGATAGCGTTTCTATGAGAGATGGAGTTGAGGTGGCTGGAATTAGGAATGCGGAGAGATAGGAGAATGAGAATGATGATTGTGAAGGTCAGGGCCAATTTGAGGATCGGTCTCTGTAAAGTTATTAGCGACGGTCTTAGAAGTCTCACGCGAGAATGCCTGAGTTTTACCATGACGGTTTTGGAAGATGATAAATGAACGAACTGAAGGAGTTTGATAAAGTAAAATCTGAAATTGAATTGTATTGAATTGAAAGAGAAATATACCGTTTAATTAATAACCTCTCAGAAAGTGTGTATCTGTGGGTAGTGTTGTGCTGTTTGCATATTGCGATACGGTGTGCTCAATCAAAGTGTTTCTTTTTCTAATGTAGCAATGAGTCAATGATATTGTGCTGGCTAGTGGCAGATACCAACCATGGTTTCATTTCATCACAAAAAGTCGGACACTATTATTCAATTGAAGCCAATTTTATATTATTAAAATGTCTTTCTTTCAACTCATAGTAATTATACATATCCACAATTACATTTACCGGAGAAAAAAAAATAATGTCCGTTATCCTGATACATAATTTTTTTTTTAATTATAATTTTCATTTTATATATATATATATATATATATATATATATATATATATATATATATATATATATATATATATATATATATATATATATATATATATATATATATATATATATATATATATATATATATATATATATATATGAACTTTTTTAATTTTTGATATGTACATGCTACTATATTACTTTTTCATATTATTTTTTATACATACTTGTTATTCTGTTATTCTGTTATATTATCCAAATACTTAATTTTGATTTCATGTAGGTGAATTTAAAAAATATTTGAACTGTGATTTCATTGATAGATCAAAAGCTAATGACAATTATACTTTTGAGCATTTGACACCGAAATTTTTGAGTTGTCTGAAAACTTCCGGATTGTCTAACCACTCATTGAAATTGAAGGCGGGTACAATCATCATGTTGATAAGGAATTTGGATTAATCTAAAGGCCTTTGTAATGGTACAAGGTTAACAGTTACGAAGTTAGGCAATCATGTCATTGAAGCAAAGATAATTTCAGATACAAATATTGGAAACATTATTTATATCCCGAGAATGTCTTTGTCTCCTTCCCAATCTCCATGGCCATTTAAACTTATCAGAAGACAATTCTCAATTATAGTGTCATTTGCTATGACAATCAACAAATCTCAAGGACAAACGTTGAACTATGTTGGATTATATTTGACAAAGAATGTTTTTAGTCATGAACAACTTTATGTTGTCATTTCAAAGGTTAAGAGTAAAGTTGGATTGAAAGTTTTAATACACGACGAAGACAGCAACTACTTAACTCAAACAACAAAGGTTTCAAAGAAGGTTTCCACAATTGCATATAGGTACATATTTAGTTTTTGAATAACATTATTTTTTCTTACTACAATACTAAAATCTCCATCTCTATATTTAGCTTTCAAGTAAAATAATTTGATACTCAAATTTATATTTCACTTCATGCTTATATAATTCATTCTTTCGACATCTCATATTTTCTTAGATAGTTCTAATATTTCATTAATTATTGATTTTAATTTATATTTGTAGGTTTTGTAATCCTCACTCTTGCTTCATATAAGTCTTACTACATCATTTCAATCTACAATGTTATTTGCACTTTGTTTCTAAATTTCTTTTATTGGACATACTATGCTTCAGATATTAAAAGTTATTGTATTTTTATGACATTGAATATATCCACTATTATAAAGTTATTATGAAATTTAAGAATGAATTTATCCGTGCGGAAGCACGAGTCTACTACTAGTTTCATCACAAAAGGTCAGACACTATTATTCAATTGAAGCCAATTTTATATTATTAAAATGTCTTTCTTTCAACTTATAGTAATTATACATATCCACAATTACATTTACTGGAGAAAAAAATGATGTCTGTTATCCTGATACATACTTTTTTTTTTTAATTATTGATTTCCATTATATATCAATTAATAATTATCAAACAAACTAATGTAATTAACTGTACATGTGTATGAATAAGATTAGCTCAATAATAATAGTATGCAAACATCCTCTTTCAAGTTGGACTATGTATACTATAAAGTTTCAACTTGAATAACATTGGTGACAAAACTGATGAATGCAATGGCTTTGTAAAAATATATGCTAGTTGTGTCTTGGTCGAAACAGATAGAAGGTGAATGAGCTTGGAGTAGAGTTTTTCACGAACAATATGACAATTAAGCTAGATGTGTTTGCTGCACTCATGAAAAGTTGGATTATGGGTGACATAAATAGCATATTTACTATCATAAAACACAGATGCAGGTTGAGGGAAGGTGATCTAGAAATTGTGAAAAAAGATATTGTAACCATTGCAACTCACAAGTAAGCGATGTTAAAGCTCGATATTCAGCTTCAGTCGAAGACCTGGACACAATATGTTGTTTCTTGGACTTCCAGCAAAGTAGGGAATAACCAAGAATAATACAATAACCAGTGACAGAATTTCTAGTATCTGGACATCGAGCTCAATCCGAGTCAGCAAAAGCATGCAATTTTAGATCACTAGAAGTTAGGAACAACAAGGCTTTAGTTGTGATAGATTTGAGATACCTGAGGTTTATTGTGGCATCTTGATACTGTGGTAATAAAGGACATGATACATATTGGCTTAAGTGTTGTACAACATAAGCAATATTATGTCGAGAATTTGTCAAGTAGATTAACCTGCCAATTAAGCAACTATAACAGGATGGATCTTCTAATAGCTGACCATCATTGGCTGAAAGTGTTGTGTTGGGATCAAAAGGAACAACAGAAGGCTTTGAAGCAAGTAACCCACTATCTTCTCAAAGATCAAGTGTGTACTTCCTTTGATTAAAACAAAAATACTTGCTACTATTATTCAATTGAAGCCAATTTTATATTATTAAAATGTCTTTCTTTCAACTCATAGCAATTATACATATCCACAATTACATTTACCGGAGAAAAAAAAATAATGTCCGTTATCCTGATACATAATTTTTTTTTTAATTATAATTTTCATTATATATATATATATATATATATATATATATATATATATATATATATATATATATATATATATATATATATATATATATATATATATATATATATATATATATATATGAACTTTTTTAATTTTTGATATGTACATACTACTATATTACTTTTTCATATTATTTTTTATACATACTTGTTATTCTGTTATTCTGTTATATTATCCAAATACTTAATTTTGATTTCATGTAGGTGAATTTAAAAAATATTTGAATTGTGATTTCATTGATAGATCAGAAGCTAATGACAATTATACTTTTGAGCATTTGACACCGAAATTTTTGAGTTGTCTGAAAACTTCCGGATTGTCTAACCACTCATTGAAATTGAAGGCGGGTACAATCATCATGTTGATAAGGAATTTGGATTAATCTAAAGGCCTTTGTAATGGTACAAGGTTAACAGTTACGAAGTTAGGCAATCATGTCATTGAAGCAAAGATAATTTCAGATACAAATATTGGAAACATTATTTATATCCCGAGAATGTCTTTGTCTCCTTCCCAATCTCCATGGCCATTTAAACTTATCAGAAGACAATTCTCAATTATAGTGTCATTTGCTATGACAATTAACAAATCTCAAGGACAAACGTTGAACTATGTTGGATTATATTTGACAAAGAATGTTTTTAGTCATGAACAACTTTATGTTGTCATTTCAAAGGTTAAGAGTAAAGTTGGATTGAAAGTTTTAATACACGACGAAGACAGCAACTACTTAACTCAAACAACAAAGGTTTCAAAGAAGGTTTCCACAATTGCATATAGGTACATATTTAGTTTTTGAATAACATTATTTTTTCTTACTACAATACTAAAATCTCCATCTCTATATTTAGCTTTCAAGTAAAATAATTTGATACTCAAATTTATATTTCACTTCATGCTTATATAATTCATTCTTTCGACATCTCATATTTTCTTAGATAGTTCTAATATTTCATTAATTATTGATTTTAATTTATATTTGTAGGTTTTGTAATCCTCACTCTTGCTTCATATAAGTCTTACTACATCATTTCAATCTACAATGTTATTTGCACTTTGTTTCTAAATTTCTTTTATTGGACATACTATGCTTCAGATATTAAAAGTTATTGTATTTTTATGACATTGAATATATCCACTATTATAAAGTTATTATGAAATTTAAGAATGAATTTATCCGTGCGGAAGCACGAGTCTACTATTAGTAATAATTCATATTTTATTATATTACTTTCTTAAGCCCATAAGTTTGTTAGAGGGTATTTTAGTATTTTATCTTATTCTAGTAACCCTAGTTTTAGCTTATAAATAGGGTGACAATCATTGTAACTCTTAATCCTGTTTCTTCTGCCGTCATTCTCTTTAATAGAATATTTCCCTATTTCATCATTTATTCTATCTTTGCACCAACAATTGGTATCTAGAGCTCCGGTTCAGATTCATTGGGAAACACGGGAAACACGAGTGAACGTGAGGTCTTGTGTGTTTGATTTTGATTCTTAGATTCGTGTTGAATCTTGAACAAAATCTGATCAGAATTTTATTCTGTGGGTTGGGAAACACTGTGTGAGAAATCTGACTGTATTGTGCAAAGTAGAAGATGAACGGAAACGGCAACATGAACACCAAACTTCCAGTATTTGATGGTAAAAACTGGAATCGTTGGATGATTCAAATGCGTGTACTATTTGGTGCTCAAGATGTTCTAGATCTTGTCACTGATGGTTATGTTCCAGTAGCAGCAGATGCAACCGATGAACAGAAAAACGCGCAGAAGGAAGTAAGGAAGAAGGATCAGAAAGCATTGTTCTTCATTCATCAATGTGTGGATGTAAACGTGTTTGAGAAGATTGCAGATTCTACAACAGCAAAGGCTGCATGGGACACTCTGGTGAGATGTTATGGTGGTGACGCATCAGTGAAGAAGGTGAAGCTTCAGTCCTTGAGAAAGCAATATGAGAATCTCAACATGAAGAATAATGAGAAAGTTTCTGAATACATCTCCAGAGTGATTCTGATCACTAATGAGATGAAGGCATGTG